TCCACAGCCGTTATCATTTCCAGAATGCTTTCCACGGTACTCCATCAACACAAATACTGGGAGCAAAGTAATTCTGTGGTGGAGTAAATTTGGGTAACGTTACCAATTGTAGCCTTTCTTGACAACTCACAATATATATTAGCATAGAAAATATTTGTACAAATCATATAGTAGACATGGTTTCATTTCTTTATCCTTTCCCTCTCAGTTCCATCATATACTTAGGGCTTGCTATCTGAAAGGTGCTCAAAGACAGAGGGAGAGAAGCAGGCAAGATCTCTACTGTCACACAGTTTGCACAGTTTACAGTCTAGTGGAAAGAGACAAGTAACTAAACGAATTTCAAAAGGTGGCACGTGCTCTAAAAGAAATAAAACTGGGTGTTAGAAGGGAGATTAGGCAGGTACAAACACCGCCTTGGATCATGCATCAGGGACAGGTTCTTCTAGTTGAAATGCAGTGGAATAAACCAGACAAGGAAAATCAAAGGGGAAGAATGTTCCAGAATAGGGCAGAAGCTAAGCATGAGCTTACCATTCTCAAGAGGAAAGAGCAGCTGGAGGCTTATTGCAGGGGAGTAAGGAATAGAAAAGGAGAGATAAGAGATACAGATTAGAATAGAAGGACATGATAAATGTCTGGGTTTTAGCTGATGAGGATTTTTGCTTTCAATCATTCAACAAATTTTGAGAGCAAGTACCATGCATAATGCCAGTGGGGCTGAGGGTATAACAGTGAACAATGCAGATACTGTAGCTGTGATGAACATTGAAAGCAGAGTAACAGCATTGAATTGCTGAAAAGGATCATCTCAGCTACTGTTTAAGAATGGATTGAGTGGGAGGGGCAGGAACGGAAGCAGAGAAACCAAGTAGGAATCTAGGCGGCAGGCACCGCGATGGGAAGCAGTGGGCAGAAAGAGGGAGGTCAGGTTATCTTCATTTAACCTGCTGTTTTCTAAACACGTGGCCCTGGAACCATGTTTTACAACAGCGCCTGTGAACATTTCATGGAATCTACAGTAAGCATGGTGGCCATTACAAACACACGAGTAAGACTTTGAGAGAAGCGGGAACAGAGATGTGGTGTTCTGCAATTGGTTCACGCGGGAGAAATGAACAGCACAGCTGCTTGTAAATGCCGCTCTATTTCTAAATTTAGAATACAAATACTAATTTATAAGAAAAAAATCTCTTGACTATCATACCACCCTGCCCCAATCTGGGAATTAGCCTGATTTAAAGCATATGTAT